CATTCTAAAACATGATTATCCTAGTAATGCAAATCCAAGAATAGCTGTGGTCACTGTGAATCCCCCTTAAAAATATAGTCCTATTATTTTGAATTAGAAAAAAAATCTCAGTGCAAGAGAAATAATAGGAAAAATTAAAATTTTCTTCTTTTTAATGCCTAGGGTATAGAATTTCTATTTGCATTGAAATATTGTATTTCTTTGAAACTTGAGCATATTAACTCTGGATTAGGGGCAGGGTATTAGATTTTAAGATTAGTTTTTTATTTTACTCAATGTTTATGTTTTTGCTTCATTTAGGAAAATAAGGGGGGGAAGAAGAAGGAAAATACAACTTGCATATCATTTCATTCTCTTTTATGAAGCAGTATTTGTACACACTGATGGGAAGTTCATTTAGTAAGGGCAGAAGGACAAATTTGGGAGTTGCTTGGACTTTATATTAGTTAATCTTGGTTTAGAAAAACAGAAATGCAGCCTTGGCCTGGCTTCTTTTCTTAACTTCCTATACTTTTGAAATAGGGAAATTAACCCTACTCTGGGATCACCTTAAAAAATTCATTCATTGGCTCGGCGCCTATAGCGCGGTGGTTATGGCACCAGCCACATACATCGAGGGTGGCGAGTTCAAACCTGGCCTGGGTCTACTAAACAACAACGACAACTGCAACAACAAAAAAATAGGTGGGCATTGTGGCAGGCGCCTGTGGTCCTAGCTACTTGGGAGGCTGAGGCAAGAGGATCACTTAAGCCCAAGAGTTTGAGGTTGCTATGAGCTATGACACCATGGCATTCTACTGAGGGTGACATAATGAGACTCTGTCTCAAAAAAAAATTTTACTCATTAAACATGGTGGTGGTTCTATAAATCCATATATATTGATGAAATGTCATGGAATTAGACACAAAAGCATATTCTTCCTTCCATAAAAGGCTTTTTTAATAAAACCTGGTGAAATAGTCTAGTTAATTGTATTAGACCAGGGGTCCTCAAACTTTTTAAACAGGGGGCCAGTTCACTGTCCCTCAAACCATTAGAGAGCGAGACTGCGGGCCCCAGGACAAGTCGGCTGCTAAGCAGGGCAGGCAGGAGTGGCAAAAACACCCAGCGGGCTGGAAAAATGTCCTAGGCTGCATGTGGCCTGTGGGCTGTAGTTTGAGGATGCCCATATTAGACCATTGTCAGTTTCCTGGCTTTAATAATGTACTATAGTCAAATAAGATGTTACCAATGGAAGAAGCTCGGGTGGTGAGTTCTCTATGGTTTCTGCAATTACGCATTGGTCTATAATTAATTCAAAATCAAAAGGGTTTTAAGAGTCTATCAATTAGATTGAATCTAATCAATCTATCAATCTATCAAAATGTTACACTATATCCATGATATAGATTCCTCAGGCATTAGAGAGTAAGGCCTGAAACAGTAACCAAAGTACTGTTTAAAAAAATAAAAAGAGTAAGGTCAATTTGAGTGTAGGGAGGAGAGAGGACCGTGCTAGATTCTGAAGTAAAAAAGGCAAGTTGCAACCCAATATTTATAAAGTTATTCTATGATGTAATAGAATACTTTTCAATTATATTTACCCACAGGGCATAGGGAAAGTTCTAAATAAACACCACAGTGTGGACAGTGGTGATCCCTGGGAAGTGGCAGTTGATGGAGGGAGGGCGCACATGTCTTTCTCAACGCCAGTGCTGTTTGAACCTTTGTCCAGAAGCGTTTTTTATTGTTACAATTTTTATAAAAACAACAAAATTTTATATCTAAGTGACATGTAGGGGCAATGACAATAACAAAGGCCTAAAATGAACGTGAGCATTCTAAGTACATGCCTGCCTTGTGAATCTTCTGAGTCTTCAAGCTGTGCTGCATGTGGAAATGGAATATGCTGAGCTGTGAGTTTTTTCAGTGGTTGATCCCAGCCAAGAGGCTCGTTTTGATCTCAGTCTGTTTTGAACAATTGTTCATCTTCTTTTTGCCAAAGATAATCAATTCCGTCACTTCTCAGAAAAAAAAAAATTTAATAACCCCCAACAGACCTGCCTGGGATCCATAATGTTTGGCTGTCTGGGCACTTATTGTATTCCTAGATTCCTATATTACAACAAAGCTCTCTTAAAAAGTTATTATGTTCTTGGATGCATTTTTAATGCATTCATCCTTTGTGAAAAAGAAAACTTCAGCTTAAGCATTTATCGTATCTTAATGGCGAGAATCTTTTGTCTATATGTTGGCATTTAACTGGGTCCGTCTTCCCAGAAGTGGTAGGCCAAGACATTTCATTTCTTTGTGTGTGTACCTGTGTGTGCTTCCACATACGTGTGTGTAAGTAGAACGCACCTGTGCGGTGTAGGTTCCTGCCTGTTGTCCTCACTATCCTGTCCTCAGCACCTACAGTAGTGGCTGGTAGAGCTGTCCCTCAGTATGCTCGGGGGATTGGTTCCAGAACCCCCATGTATACCTAAATCCACACATTCAGGTCCCACTGTTAGCCCTGTGGAACCCACATATACCTGGGTTTGGCATCCTGAGAATACTGCATTTTTGGTGAGTGCTTGGTCAGAAAAAAGAGTCCACATGTAAGCAGACCTGTACGGTTCAGACCCTTGTTGTTCAAGGGTCAACTGTACCTTAAAATTGTTCATTAGGTAGGCATTGAATAATTATTTGTGCATGTTGGGGAGTATTGGTGCTATACAGAGACCATCCCTTTCCCTTTCCTATCCTTTTTCTAAAACCACATTGGTATTAGTCTTTAAGAATGGCTTTTCAAAAATAAATACCCATGAGTGGGTTAGGGAAGCCATGTGTGATGTCATTAGTTTTGTTTTCAGCTAGGATGCTGCTTCTGGCTGCAAGGACCAGATTTAACTAGCACAGCCTTCAAGTATAATTCAGGGTTTCCTCTCCCACAAGTGCAGGCTCTAGACCAGGCAGCTTCAGTTCATCTTTCTGCTCTGCCATCCGATCCGGCAAGGAGCAGAATGTCTGCAGCCGTTCCTGGTATCATGTCCAGATGTCGCTGCATCCAGAGGTGGAAAGACAGGGGACCTTCGATTCCTCAAAGCTCCCAGAAGACTTCCCATCCTGCCTCTTACAGTCGGAAAGAGGTTATGTGCCCATGTCTAACCCACCATGAACAAGGAGAATAAAAGACCATCACTGATTTGGACTTTTTGGGGTCTGCTTGGGCTCCCATTACAAAATATCACAGACTAAGGGCTTAAGCAAAACAGACTGTTTCCTCACGGTTCTGGAGGCTGTAAGTCCAAGATCAGGGTGCTGGCAAGATTGTCTTCTGGTGAGGCCTCTCTCCTTGGTTTGCAGACAGCTGCCTTCTTGCTGTGTCCTCACACCGCTTTTCCTCTATGTATGTTCATCCTTCCTGTCTCTTCCTCTTCTTCCCATAGGGACACTCCTGTGGGATTAGGGCCACACCAGTATGACCACATTTAACATGAATATCTCCTTAAAGACCCATTGTCAACCATCACCTTTATTTAGGCAACACCTGTGACACAGAGGGACACAGCTGGAAAGGCTGGAATTGTACTTAAGATGATCCTTCTGTTTTTCAGACTTCAGGGCCAGATTTTGGTGCAAGTATCCTTTCCACCACTTACTAGGAAGGGGCTTACCTCTCTGAGCTTTGGCTTCCTCATCTGTAAAACGGGATGTTCTGTGGCCCTCACAAGGCTACAGTGAAGCGTAAACAAGAAAAGGGAAATACAGCAGTTAGCTGGCCCCTGGATCAGTGCTCAGTGTCCTCTAGTTAGCTCGTGTCCTAGTCCTAGGGTTGACCTTTCCCCAACCACTGCCCTAAAGGATACTTCTTCCATTGATTAAAAAAAAAAAAAAAAAAAAAAGGAGTGCTTTTAAAGATATGTAATTGCCTTAAGATAGCTCCAAAGCCATTAACAGTATTCCAATGAGTAAAACATTTCCTTCCTTTTGAGGAAAAAATACACTTCAAAATGTGTTGGAGAGGAAATAAGGCAAAGAACGTGGCCTTTGATGTCAGCCTGCCAAATTCCCACCTAGCTACTGTCGCAGGCTTTGTGACCTTGGGTGAAGCCTGGCACTCTTCATGGCTCAGTTTCTTGTAGTATGTCGAATGGGAGAATTAGAGCCCTGCCTGGAGGGGGGTTGGGAGAGGTGACACCCTGCGTGCAAAGCACTTCTTGCCATGACTGGTGGGCACTAAGCTGCAGCCCAGGGCTGGTCACATGCATTACTAAGTGCCCTGTGGGCACCTTGTGAAATGGGAAGGAGCATGGGGGTCAGAGAAGAGGAGGGCAACGAATAATTTCTACTCTCCTTCATCCTCTAGAGCTCAGAAGGTCCCTCTGTAATCCTGTAGCAACCTTTTTTTGGGGGGGGGGTACAAAGTCTCACTTTGTTGCCCTTGGTAGAGTGCTGTGGCATCATTAGAGTGCAACAGCAACCTCAAACTCTTGGGTTCAAGCGATCCTCTTGCCTCAGCCTCCCGAGTAGGTGGGGCTATAGGCATTTGCCACAATACCTGCCTATTTTTTGAGAATGGGTCTTGTCTTGCTCAGGCTGGTCTTAAACTCCTGATCTCAAGCAATCCACTCGCCTCAGCCTCCCAGAGTGCTGGGATTACAGGTGTGAACCATCACCCCCAGCCTTATCCTGTAGTAACCTTGTAGATGGGAAAGTGGCATTTTTATCCTCAAAGATGAGGAGACTTAGGCTTAGCAAAGTCTTTGACTCACCTGAGGTCTTGCTAATGGTAGTTGGCAAGGCTGGATTTGAACCCAAGTGTACCTGACACCAGGGCCCTACTTCCTATTCATTCTGCCAAATTCTGTAAAAATATCTTTCTTCCCTTGCCCTCCTCATCCCTACCAGGCACTGAGAATTATGTAAATGGACATGTGGCTGCATCACTTAGAGTATTACTTTGGAAATCTGTTAGAAATGCTGCTTTAGAGCCTCCAGCCTGATGATTTTTTTATTACTATTTTTAACATATTAGGCTCTGCTGACTGAGATGATGGAGAGATGTAAGAAACTAGGAAACAAGTAAGTATTTTAAGATTCATAATTCATGAGTTTGAAAATGGACTTGGCTACTCTTTTTGAACTTGGTATACTTATTACCTGGGCAAGATAGCTGACCCAGAGACAGGGTAGCACAGAGGCTTAGACCACTGGAGTCCAGGTATCTGCCCTCCGATCATGGCTTCATTCCTTCTTAGCCTTGTGACCTTGGGCTACTTACTTGACCTCTGTGTACTCAGTCTTCTTATCTATAAAGTGAGGATAATAGTACTCTTTTCCCTATGGGGCTATGATAGGTGATTGGCTAGGAGGAGCTTGATCTTCCTGTCTCCCACATTTATGAGATTTCCCCTCTGCCGGCCTTTTGGTGGTAGATGCCTATAACATAAGACCTCATATATAAGAGGTATGGATATATTTGCAGTGTGGCTTAATATGGTTACTTAATGTTTAACTTTATTAGTGTACCTGCCGACTGAAGGCTTATTTTTCTTCTGTTTAAGTGGATTGGATTGCTTGCTGATTTATCTGTCTATTCATCCACCCAACTATCTAAACATCCAGTTAATTCAACATTTTTCAGGTTCCAAGTATGTACATAACACTATGTTAGTCTCTAGAATCTTCCCCTCTGCCCCAAACTTACCATTAAAGGGCTTCCCAGCAATGTGCATCCTAAAATTAAAGCGCCTTTCATAAAGTGCCTCAGCTGACTTGGTACATTTTCTGTCTTATAGTGCCTTGCTGTTGAATTCCGTCATGTCAGCCTTCTGTGCTGAGTTCGTTGCCACAAGGTCCATGGATTTCATTGGGATGATCAAAGAGTGCGATGAGTCTGGTTTCCCCAAGGTAGGCTCTTAACTGTGCACAAGGGGAGAACAAAGGGGCAGTGTCTGTCCAGTAGCTCTCGAGGGAGAGAGTCTGGTGTTGGGGGCAGCCTGGGCCAGCTAGAAAACAAGCGAAGACTCTGTTCCTGAGGAACACAATGGAAGATGAATTAGAAGGTGTGGCTATTAGACACCATGTAATTGCTGTCCATCAGGTTAGCTCACTTTGAAGTATTTAGGAAAGTTGTGGGTCTACCATCTTTAAAAATAAATCTCAGTCATTTATGAAAAGCTTTGTCCAGTGAAATATTTTGGCCCACAGATGCACAGAGCCAACTCTTTACACTGCTCTGCTCAGTGTATGAATCTGAAGTAGAACTTCAAAAGGAGGTTATTGGAAGATTAACTGTAAGAAGGACTGAATGTTACAAACTTTTCTCTTTTTTGTTACGTACGCTCAAGGTACCTTGACTTAAAATCTCCAGTAATAACGACGGTTTTGTATTTTTCTTAGCATCTCCTTTTTCGGTCACTGGGGTTAAACTTGGCCTTAGCTGATCCTCCAGAGAGTGATCGGCTTCAGATTCTCAACGAAGCTTGGAAAGTTATCACTAAATTGAAGAATCCACAGGTGGGTGACCATTTAGATTTTAAATTGACCGTTTTTTTTGTTTGTTTGTTTTAGTTATGTGGTGTACTTATTCATTTTAAAAATTATCTTTTTGGCTGGGCATAGTGGTTCACCTGTATTCCCAGCACTTTGGGAGGCTGAGGCAGGAGGATTACTTAGAGCCAGGAGTTTGAGGCTGCAGTGAGCTGTGATGGAGCCACTGTGCTCTAGCCAAGGCAACTGAGCAAGAATATGTCTCAAAAAAAAAAGAAAAGAAATTAAAGAAATGTACCTTTAAGCTATCATTTCTCCCTATAGGTAAACAAATGATACAATTAAAATAAATAGGTTTCTTTAAAAACAAAAAGCTATAATTAGTGAAAAACTAATTTTTTTTTTTTCTGGAGAATGCCACCCTTTGCTTCTTCCAATTCTTTAAGCATAGTGGAGCTTCCCAGATTTCTACCTTGGCCCAAGGAGCAATTCTGAATGGAAATCTAATTAGTTTCAGGCAATGTGTGTTTTTGTATAACTTATGCCTCATGGTTAAATTATCAGTGGGCCACAGTTTTCTATACATGAACTGTTCTTATGAGATGAACTTTTTCCATAAGGTATACCATGTTGTGCATATTGTAAAGATGTTTTACTTTTTCCTTGTAGGACTACATTAATTGTGCTGAAGTGTGGGTGGAATACACCTGCAAGCATTTCACAGTATGTATGACTGTGGTATTGTTTTTATAAGAATTATAGTTTTTCATGTTTGTAAATGAATCTAGTTTAGGCACTTAGGCATTTTACAATGATAATCATTCTTACAACTTATAAAAATTGTGTTCTTTATAATAAAGTATGGTAGAGTATTAATATGTACACTGTAACAAAAGTGTTCCATGCTTATATGTACTTGGGAAAGTCTGCACTATACAAAGTTAAACAGTTTTTCTCAGTGTAGGACACCTTAGAGACTTTTATGCTTACATGTAATGTGACTTTGCATAGGGGTCTAATAAGCGTCATTTCCTGACTATATTTGATTTGCATGTAATTTTTTTCCTAAGCAAACAGAGATGCTTCTTTCACTAGGCACAGACTAGAGCCAGAGTTTGGGGAATACCAGGCTTGTCAAAGAGCAAACACTTTAGAAGTAGGTGGAAATGTGTTTATATCCCATTGCCAGTTGCTTTTTTTTTAATCAACTTTGAAAAATTAAAGTATAGCATTGTTATGGTCTGAATGTTTGTATCCCCCCAAAATTCATTTACTGAAACTTAATCCCCAGTGTAATAATAGCAAGAACCTTTGGGAGGCGATTAGTGGGGTTAGTGCCCTTATAAAAGAGGCCCAAAGAGGCTTGTTGGCCCTTTCCACTGTGTGAGGACATGGCAGGAAGGCTCCATCTATGAGGACTGGGCCCTTACCAAATATTAACTCTGACAGTCCCCTGATCTTGGACTTCTTAGCCTCTAGGATAGTGAAAAATAAATTTGTTGTTTATAAACTGCTTAATTTATGGTATTTTGTTATAGCATCCAGAACAGACTAAGATAAGCATATGTATAAAAAAAATGCACATGTTGTAAGTTTGCTGCTCAACATATTTTCAAAAAATATACCCATGTAGTTACTGTCCAGAGCAAGAAATAGGAAATAACGTACCCTCAGAACTCCCCAGCACTGGTCACAATCCCTAGCCTTTAGAGAGTTGAAGATAACCCCCATCCTGGTCTTTAACACCAGAAATTGGTTTTGTCTCATTTTGACATTACATACTGTTGACATTTCATAAATGTTGGTCGGTCCATTGATTTTTTTTTTCCTTCTTTTTGCGGAGAGACATATTTTGTTACAAATTGTTGAGTGCGTTCACAAGGCAGAAAAAACAAACTTGTACGGGGTGCTTCAGCACTATCAGAACAGACTTCTGCAGCTACAGGCCCTATTTTTATTTTACATTTTATCGTGGAAATTTTTAACATATGCTCTTCCTTCTACCCATCACCTATCTACTTGTGATAAATCTTATTTCATTTATATCCTTACAACTTCTTTATACCCCTGGAATATTTTGAAACACATCTCAAACATCCTATCATTTCTGCCAATATTTCAGCACATCTGTAAAAATAAGGATTCCCTTTTTGAAACAAAATCTGAATACATTATCCTAACTTAACAAGTTAATAATTCTTCGGTATCACTAAATTGTCAATATTCCAGTTTCCCCAATTGTCTTTTAATTCTTTTAGTTTATTTATTCAAATCAGGATTAGAATAAGTTATTAATATATACATTGCTGCGGGCTTCTTAGGGTACTTTGATCTGTTCTCTCTCAATCTCTTTCCTTCCCTGCTTCTCTTCCCCTCCCCCCAACCCCTGCAATTTGTTTTTTGAAAAAATTGGGTCTCCTGTCCTATTGAGTTTCCAAGACTGGGTTTTGTGGATTGCATCCTAATGATGATGTTTAGCATGTCTTTCTGCCTGTACTTATTTTCTGTAAATCAACACTTGGCTAGAGACTTGAAAACTATCCCTTTAGTGAGCCATATACAAACAGGCCATGGGCCTGTAGTCACTGCTAATGCACGTGGCAAAAATGAACAGTGAGCAGTTAGATCAGATGGCTTATGGGGGTGAGATTGTGTTCTTTACACAATGTCTCTCTGCTGTCCCTACAGGTGCCTAAGAGAGGGACCTGGGTCGGGCGGGTAGGATGTGGCATGGCCAATTTCACCACTGCTCTGAGAGGCACGATGTAAGGCCTCATGACCTTGGAGAACAGTGTTTAGTCCTGACTTTGTGCAAGGCTATAGAACTAGACCAAGTTGTATGGGTGGGATTTCCCCCCTTCTGTTATTTTTAGCAGAATATTTGAAACCTTTTCTTGGAAGAAGTGTGATATATTCTGAGTATCTTAATTCTTTCCCTGATGAAAATGGTCACTGATTTCCATTTAGTAGGATTAAGTTGATTTCCATTCCCCCCCCCTTAGAAACGAGAGGTAAATACGGTTTTGGCTGATGTCATCAAGCACATGACTCCAGATCGGGCATTCGAAGATTCCTACCCTCAGGTAACGGATTTGCATTTCTCATTTTAACAGTGTTAGGGATTTTGTGCTATTGAATTAAATAGTCATGTTTGAATCATAGCTCTGCTATATCCTAGCCATGTGCCCTTTGATCAGTTAGTTACCTTGTTGTGCCTCAGTTTTCTCACCTGTAAAATGGGGGATAATGATAGTCTTATCCTAAGAATTGTTGTGAGGATTAAAGAGATGTGATACGGGAAGCCCTGACACAGTTGCTTCGCACATGTAGAAGCAGGAGCATTGATGGCACCAGTAAGTAAGATACCTATGTTTTGGCTGGGCGCAATGGCTCATGCCTATAATCCCAGCACTCTGGGAGGCTGAGGCAGATGGATTGCTTGAGCTCAGGAGTGCAAGATCAGCCTAAACAGCTGATCAGTCAGCCCCATCTGTACTAAAAATATAAAAAAACTAGCCAGGTATGGTGACTTATGCCTGTAGTCCCAGCAACTCGGGAGGCTGAGGCAAGAGGATCACTTGAACCCAGGAGTTTGAGGTTGCTATGATCTATGGTGAAACCACAGCGTTCTACCCAGGGCAACAGAGTAAGGCTCAGTCTCAAAAAAAAAAAAAAAGTCTGTTAGTTAAATTAACTTTTTATTTGGAAATAAATTTAAGCTTATTGGGAAGTAGAAAGAATAGCTCATAGAACTCCTATTTTCTTTACCCAGATTCACTGCCTATTAACATTTTGCCACATTTGCTTTCTCATAATCATATGTGTGTACTACATGCATGTGTGCACATACGTATACATATACACATGTATATGTGTTAATTTTTTTCTGAATTATTTGAGAATAACTTTGTACATCATGCTACGTCTTTGTTTCTAAAGAGCTCAGTGAGTATTTCCATGGAACAAGGACATTCTCCTGCATAACCTTAATTCCATTATCAACTTTAAGGAATTTAACATTATGTTAAATTATATCATGATTCATACTCTTTTAAGTATCCCATGATTCATACTCTTAAGTTTTGTCAGCTGATTCAGTGTTCTTTATGGCAGGGCTTTTCCTCCTCAAGTGTAGAATCCAGCTTAGGATCACTCTGTAAAGTAAGTCTAGACCAAAGTAAGATTTTTATTTTACAACGTGATGTTCCAGAACTAGTGCCTGATATTGCTTTTGAACTGCACTTGGTATAAGGCAGTTAGATATATATTTTTTGTAAGAATTTTAGAGTTTTTGTCTTTTGCTAATTTAAGAATTTTTCACCATTTGCTCATTAAAGTGGTTCATCATTACAATTTACTGGGCAGCTCCTGACTACCTGGCCTTTCTCTAAGTGTGACAGAAACAAGCCATGGTTCAGGCATGGTGCCTGGGGCAAAGTAAATAAGTATCACTGAATGAGTAAAACCTGCAGACGCCATGGGTCATTTCCAGCCCTGTCAAGACTCCACATGAAAACTAGGATGCATTAGAACTTTTGCTGAAGAACATTTAGTAAGCCCTTGACTACTAGGGTCCCAGTTAATTGAAAACTTCAGAGAGCATAATAATTTTAAATCAGCCTGTTCCAAGAGAGGGTAATTATACTGTATTAATTTGGTCATATCCAAAAACAACTTTTTAAAAGACGCCTTGGGGCCAGCCAGCACTCTAGACAGCCATCCAAATCGGCAGAGAGCCTTTTATCTGGAAGGAATTGTGTCTGTGGAGAATTGGCTTACTCTAGGTCAGAGACAGGAAAAAAGACACACAAATGCATATATATGTATTTTTTTTTGTACCAGAAAGTAAGGAAGTGATTGAAAAACTAAGGAGGACCTATGAAAAGGATACAGGATCAGCTTGAAGGGACTCTCATGGGCTTCTGATTTGAGCATCAAAAGAAAGCGGGACAATAATGGATTGTAACCCATTGGATAAAATAGGAATCCATGAATCCATCCTTATGAGGTATAGCTACATAGATAGATGATGGGATTGATTGAGAAATGTGGAAGGGGCTGGGCGCCTGTACCTCAGTGGTTAGAATGCTGGCCCTGTGCACCAGGGGTGGCGGGTTCGAACCCAGCCCAGACCTACTTAACCAAACAAAAGAGAGAGAGAAAGAGAGAAATGTGGAAGAAATCGTAGAGTTGGAAAATCACCATTGTGCAGCCATCACTGTAAGACAAGGATTGTCTGCATTTAGACAACGATCATTAGCGGCACATGTTAGACCTGGGAGGAAGAGTTTAGCATGCATAGATGAGGAGAGAGAGACTTTGAGAGCTGTGCATATCTTAAAGGGTCTTCCTGTTGAGCAAGTGTTAATTGCAAGGGGGTAAATAGTGACAATACAGCTGAGAAGCTGAACCATCCTCATCGAGCTAGCAGTGAGAGCAGATGGCCATCGTGCATCTGAAGATGTGGTACCCTAAGAAAGACACAGCATCACCTGTGTAGCATTCCAGTCAGTAATGTACAAGCTGAATCTCAGCACGAGAGAACATCAGGCATGCCCCAAATGGGGAGACTTCTATAATTTTTCAAAAATATCATTGACAGAAGTAACAAAGACAGGCTAATAAGCTGTTCTAAGTTAATACAGATTAAAAAGACATGAAAGCAGAATGCAGTGTATGATCCCAAACTGATCCTGTACAGAAGAGAGGAAAAATAATGCTGTTAAGGACTTACTGAGACACCTGGTCAGATTGGAAATGCATGATAGATCAGACCAAAGTGTTTTCACTATGTCAGTGTTAACTTTCCTAAATTCGGTAGCAGCAAAGTGGAAACGTCAGAAAATGTCATTATTCTTAGGAAATAGAAAATGAAGCATTGATGGTCATGGGACATGATTCCTGCAATCCACTCTCATGTGGTTCAGGGACAAAAATACTGGGGTAAAGCATGTATGGAAGTTCTCTTATTGTTCTTTGAGCTTTACAATAAGTGTGAAAATTATTTTTAAAAAAGAGTTAAAACATATAATACATGTTAAAAATGTCCGAGTTTATAAATTCTGTCATCAGACGGATAGATGAGGGGATAAAGCAAATGTAGCAACATGCTAGCTTTTTCAGAATTGAAGTAGTGAGTAAACAGGTGTTTCTTGTGTAATTCTTTCAGTTATCTTTAAGTTTGAGCATTTATATATATGTGTGTGTGTGTGTGTATATATATATATATATATATTTTTTTAGAAGTAGTACCTCCTTGCTCCTCCTGGACCAAAACCTACTTAACCAAACAAAAGAGAGAGAGAAAGAGAGAAATGTGGAAGAAATCGTAGAGTTGGAAAATCACCATTGTGCAGCCATCACTGTAA